CCACCACCGATTAAGATGGCGGCAAATTTTATCACAAATAAAAGAGGCGTTTTCAAAGACTATGTCCATATGTACACAGAAGATTGCAAAAAAGAATATCCATTATTAATATCTTCATCCTCTCCCAACACAAAACTTGATTTAATGAAGATAAATAACATATTAAAATCTTGTACTGGTCTGATGTATGTAAAACGCATTGGCAATTTCCTTTTCAAAGCTTATTTTTCCACAAAAAAAGATGCAAATGCATTTCTTTTAGATAAATCTTTATTAGAAAAACATGATTGGCAAGCAAAAATTCCCTATGATCGTCTGGAAAGTCTAGGAATAATAAAAGTACCACAAGAAATTAAAGAGGAAGATTTATTAACAAATATAAAATCGAATTATGAAGTAATAGGTGTGAAACGCTTCATGAGGAAGAATCAGGATGGATCATTCTCCCCTACACCAACAGTGCTTGTTACATTTCTGAGCTCAACTCGTCCTGATCATGTGACTTATGATTTTATGTGGTTTGATGTAAAGGAATATATCAAACCTGTGCGCCAGTGTTTTGTCTGTTACAAATTTGGACACAGCCGTGGATCCTGCAGAAGCTCTCAAGTATGCTCTATATGTTCTGGGAATCACTTCTTTAAAGAATGCACCAATAAAGACAAACTTAAATGCATCAATTGCAATGGTACTCACATGGCTATCAGCAACACTTGCCCTATTAAATCAGCCAAAAATCAAGAACTGAAAGATCGAATTAGTGGCAAACAAACTTATGCTACAGTCACCTCTAAAGTTCAGACAGTAACTTCAGATATCCCAAGATCTGATACTTCTACACCAAAACATCACTTGAAGCTACTTAATGCACCACAGAAAAGATTGTTATTTACAGATATTCTTAACTCAGATGATGTGCTAAATGTATTAACAAAAACACTTGTAGACATTGCTGTAAATAAGAAAGATGCTCATTCAGGTAACACTATCTCATCAAAACTCATAAAAGAAACTCTTATTTCCAATTTTAATTCCTAATTTTATGGACAGTGAGGTTGGTATTAATGAATTTCACATTTGTCATTGGAATTGTCGCAGCATTTTATCTAAATTAGACCAATTTAAATATTTTCTCAATAATTATTCTTCCAAATTCGATTTAATTCTTCTAAATGAAACTTGGCTTGATACTTCAAAGCTATTTAAGTTGCCTGGTTACAAAATTATTCGACGTGATTCTGATCATCCTCATGGTGGCATAGCAGTTGCTATCAAAGACAAGCATGTTCATAAAGTAATTAATACACCATCAAATTATCACTTTCAAAATTTATTAATTTCAGTCAAGACTGGCTACACTTGTGTTGATATACTATGTGTGTATGTACCTCCTCCACCTAAGGGTAAATTTGATTTAGAAATGCTTTCAAATTCATATAAATATATTAAAAACAGAAACTATTTATTGATTGGTGACTTCAATGCTCATCATTCATCCTGGGGCTCTAGGTATAACGACAGAAGGGGCAATATAATTAATTCTTTTGCTGACGACCATAATCTTATTTGCCTAAATGATCACACAGTCACAACTTTTGCATCGTATAATCAGAACGGCAACGTTTTGGACTTGGTTTTTGCATCACCTGCGGTAAGTTCAAGTTGTACATTCTCTGTTTACGACGATTTGATAAGCAGTAATCATTTTCCCGTTTTAATTAGCTTTCTGTATCACGACCATATCAGTTTTTCATCATCTGCAAAGAACGTAAATTCTCAGAATATTTCAGATAGTTCTTCTTACTTGGCTGATGTTAACTTTCTAAAAATAGATTGGTTAAAATTTTCCCAGCTATGTGATGATGCTTTTTCCTGTTTTACTTTAGAATCGGATCCTTTAACAAACTATACTTCATTTATTGAAAATTTATGTAATATTTTAATGACATTTCCTAAAAAACAAAAATTCAGTTGCCATAACAGAAAACGCAAGCCTACTATTTGGTGGAATGATATTTGTTCTCTAGCAGTTAAAAGAGCTAAACTCGCTCTAAACTCATTTAAAAAATATCCTACTTTAGAAAATTATATTTTATATAAGCAATTCGATGCTAAAAAGAAAAGAATATTAGCTGAACAAAAGCTTTCAAGTTGGGCCAATTTTTGTAATTCCTTTAACAGAACTACACCTGTTAAAATAATTTGGGATCAAATTAGAAGATTTAAATTTGCTAAATTAGGAAATATTTCTAGGTCACATTATTTTGATAATCAGTCCAACGCATGGGCTTATTTAAATAATATAACTCCTTCGAATTCTTCTGATATAAATTCCTATAATTTAGATTCGTACTTCACATCCAAGGGAAGTGAGTCAGCGAAATGGATCCAAAATCCCTTTCATATGTTTGAATTTGAAGCTGCCTTAAATAATAAAAAGAATACTTCACCAGGCCCTGATTATATTCCATATTCTGTCATTAAAAATCTTTCTGAAAACGCAAAAAGTCTTCTTTTAAATATATACAATCAACTATGGAAAAATAATATTATACCTCCTATCTGGAAGACTCAGATTGTAATACCTATTTTAAAACCTAATAAGGATGGCAATAGCTCAGATGCGTATAGACCCATCTCTTTGACTTCGTGCTTAGCAAAGTTATTTGAGACAATGTTAAAAAATAGATTAGAATGGTTTATCGAACATAACTCTCTTATACCTGATTACCAGTTTGGTTTTCGCAAGGGAAAGAGCACGATGTACAATTTAGGTTGTTTATTAGGCGACATACAAAGTAATCTTAGAAAAAATAAAATAACTATCGCCGTTTTTCTAGACATAAAAGGCGCATTCGATAATATTAAACACGAGTACTTGATTCAAACTTTAAGTTCATTAGGTATTCCTGGTCCAGTTTTATTTTGGATTTTTCAGTTTTTAAATGGTCGCTCCGTTACATTAAAAATTAGGGATAATTTATACGGTCCGTGTAAGTCTTTTAAAGGTACCCCCCAAGGATCAGTTATTTCACCACTACTTTTTATTTTAAGTCTTGTAAATTTTATGAAACTCATACCGAATTTAGTTAAATATACTTTCTATGCTGACGACGTTGTTATATACTTAGACTGTGAAGATCTGTGTAAGGGTGAACGAATTATGAACAATTGTCTTACCTATCTTAGTAACTTGTTAAATAATCAATTAGAACTAGAAGTAAACGTAAACAAAAGTTCAGTTATGCTCTTTGCCTATAGTTGCCCTGTCAGTCCTCGTATATATTATAATAATACTCTTATACCTTACAAAACGTCTGAGAAGTATTTAGGTATCATACTTGATTCAGAATTATCTTGGGGTCCCCACATTACATATTCATGTAAAAAAGCAGAATTGCGTTTAAATATTTTGAAATCTCTGGTTGGGGTTAACTGGGGCTCTGATCCAAAAATATTGAAAAGCTTTTTTATTTCTACAGTTCGTAGTCAATTAGATTATGGTAGTATTTTTTATGCTCACGCATCCAAACAGTTTCTGAAAAAACTAGATATTGTTCAAAATAAAGGGCTAAGAATAGTTACAGGGGCTATGATATCTTCTCCTATAAATTCCTTAGAAGTCGAATCTGGAGTACCGCCTTTACATATAAGAAGAAGTTATTTATCAGAAAAATTTTGTCTGAATTTAATTAGTCGTGACAATGTTTTAGTTAGTCGTTACCTTGAAAATTTTGCAATCCCTAATTATAATAATATTCCTATACCTGCGATGCCTTCCATTACAGAATCAATCACCTATTTAAACTTTGAATTTCAAGATATAATTTATTGGTCGTTTAAACCTCCTTGTTTCTCTTACAACTTTGCAGTAATGCTACGTGATGTTGAAGTTACGTTAACGAGATTCGATTCAAAACAAGACTTTTATGAGTTTCTGAGCGAGAAAAAAGATTACATAAAAATTTATACTGATGGTTCTAAAACAAATAATCGCACTAGTTTTGCATTTTACGATTCTTGTAATAAAATTGGTAAAGTTTATTCATGTGATCACAATTTCTCAATTTTTTCTGCTGAAATCTTAGGCATGATTTATGCTGTTAAATATATATTATTGAATTTCAGTTCATCATCATTTTTCAAATTTATAATACTTAGTGATTCTATGAGTGGACTGTTTGCATTAAAGGATAAATGTATTGATGTGAAATGTAACTACTTAGTTTATGAACTTAGAAACCTGGTTGAACTATTGAATCAATGTAATTTATTAATTGAATTTTGTTGGGTACCGGGACATTCCGGCATATTTGGGAACGAGCTCGTAGATAAACTTGCACGATCTGCACAGAATATAACACTGATAAATGATTACAAAGTGCCATATAGTGATTTAATAATTCGTCTAAAAGAAAATATGATCAAACGATGGTCTATATCCCTAGCCAATTCACGTCTTACTAAGGGTAAATGGCATGCCGAAATTGTCCCTGTGCCCACCACTAAAGCCTGGTTTGAGAAATTGACTACCCCGAATAGGAACTTCATAACATCATTTTGTAGATTAAGAATAGGTCATTGTAAATTCCCATCCCATCTTCACCGCCTCGGATTAAGCGACAGTGCATTGTGTAAATATTGTACAGAGACAATATGTGACCTTCAGCATTTATTTTTTAATTGTAAATATTTTAACTTGCAGCGTCTTCTTTTTGTTTCTTTGTGTACAGATCATCTAAAAAACAAAATTTTTCCAAAAAATGTGCAGGACATGCTTAAAATAGTTGATTTGTATGTAATAATTTATCATTTTTATAGTAATACTTTTGGTCTTCTGTAAATGATTATATCAAATTTGATTCTTCTTTCTTACATTTAATATTTAATATTTATATAACATAATTTTAAGGGTTTTTTAGTCTAAGGATTTTGTAGTAGTGTTTAGTTCTAATTATATGTATGCACTAAAGGATTAAGCTGATGGCCTTGGTAGCCAATGCTCTTAATAAAAAAAAAAAAAAAAAAAATCAACAAAATAAATGTTTCACAGTTCTTAGTTTTTCCAGTTTTTCACTATTTTCTTCTTAGTGAATTGGTAAAAGGAAGCACCAAAATGTTCAAGGTGGTTCACTATTATATATAGTTTATGTGATAAAGTTGGTAAATTGTTAGCTGATCATTTAATTCTAACCTCTATTCTAGGGAATGGTGAGCTTGGTTACTGGAGGTGCATCAGGACTTGGAAAAGCCACGGTAGATAGGTTGATTAAAAACGGTGGTAAAGTAGTAGTTCTTGATATTCAGGGTACGCGAGCCCAGGAATTGGCTAAACGTCTCGGTAGTGATGTTTTGGTGTCTACCGGTTGTGTGAGTATTTAATTTTAGTTTGAGTGCAGTTGTTTAAATTTCGAGTGTGGTTTAAGAGTGGAGAGTCAGTAATATTATTTAGAATAAGCCAATGCCTATCGTACTTAGGGTTACCACCTGTACTTTATAATAAAGTATTGTACGTTATTTCAGACAATTGTACTCTATACTCTATAAGAAAAATAAAGTACACGAAAATACTTTATATCGTATGATTTGATTTGTTTGTGATTTTGAAGCTTAGTCGTAAGTATTTTTTCGTTAAATAAAATTTATCAATTCAGGCTGAATCAATAAATAAAAAGAAAATGTATTTTTAAGTTTAGTAATAAAGAAAAATAAATAATACTTTACTTTGGTTCAATTTACTTTATTTTTGTACCTATAATAACCAATGTACTTTAATTGGGGTAAAAAAAGGTGGCAACCCTAATCGTACTCGACTTTATATTGTTATGCCAGGACTAATAACTTAAATTATCTTTAGAAGTATGAAGATAACATTTTTGGTCACCCATTTTATGACTAACTTTTATGAAAGTTGCTTGACTCAAGCATCTCAGACCACACAATATATTTATTTGAATCATTAATGCCATGTCTGTTCACAAAAATTAAGTAAGATTTCTTTCTGCCTTATGGTCTATATCTGTTAATATAGTTTTTTAAACATTTTTCAGGTGACTTCAGAAGATGATGTAACAAAAGCTTTGGAGCTAACAAAAGAAAAGTTTGGCCGTTTGGACACATTAATAAATTGTGCAGGATATTCAGAGGCACATCAAATTTATAATTTTAACAAAAATAGAGAATGTGATCTTGAAAGTTTTGTAAAATGTGTAAATGTAAGTTAATGAGGTACTTATTTGTGTTGGGTTTGCTAAAAGTTTTTTGAAATGTAAACTTTAATCTATGTCTGTTCAAAAAAATGTCTTTTTATAAAACAAGGACTAAAGTTAGTACTTGGTTTAAAACATTAGAAGCCTTAAGTAAATTGACAATGTCAGAAAACATCAAATTAAGATATGTTGACTTATTTTGGTTGGATAATGGCTTAAAGACCTAGTTTTATTCTAAGACAGATTTAGTTACACAAAAAGGTTCTCGCTATGGCATTCTTTGATTAGTTATAATGTGAAACATCTCAACAGGGCAATTATTTCGGATTAATTTTATATAAAAATACAAAAATCTTCCATACGTAAGACTGGATTTGAAACTATAACCTATTTCTAATCAGGTGATTGACCTTAGATGTTGGTGAATCTTTACCAATGTGGTCTTTCTTATGAGGGATTCACAATGTCTACAACGTAAGCTAGCTTGATTATAGATGTATGTGGCTAAAAGAATAAAATTTTCATTTAAAATCATACTGTCTTATTATAGACTTAGTACCAAGTTATCCTTGGTGTGCAGTAGGCATTGTGCGGTATATGGTACGGTGTCTCGTGAGACACGCGCCTTACACCAAGGGTCTGACCAAAATAAGTTTTCTCAATTTGTCATTTTCCCTTACTAAACAAATGCTAACTTTTGCCCTTGTTTAATAAGACAAAAATTACTTATGTGACTTTTTCAGATCAATACAATAGGTACATTCAATACAATAAGATTAGCAGCTGGTCTGATTGGTAAAAATAAACCTAATGAAGATGGACAGAGAGGTGTTATTATTAACACAGCTGCCACCATGGCATATGATGGAGACATTGGTCAAGCAGCATTTGCTGCCTCTAAAGCAGCTATTATAGGAATGACACTGCCAATAGCTAGGGATTTGGCATCACAGGGGATAAGAGTAGTCACAATAGCACCAGGTTTGTTAACAATAAATAATACTAGTCATGATTTATTCAATTTATACGAGGGTCAAACTGAAAGTTCTTAGAAAATCAAAAACTGATTACATTAGCCAGTTATTAGTTTTATTATATCTTTTCAAAATATTGTCCATTCACGTCAATACACCGCTGCATGCGATGGAACCACTGGGAAAAGCACTTTGCCTACTCGTCCTTAGGGGTCTCTTCAATGGCATCGCGATACGCAGCCACCGCTTCTTCAGCATTCATAAACCGCTTTCCTTTAAGTTTTTCTTTAGTTTTTGGAAATAAATAAAAATCACAAGGCGCGAGGTCGGGGCTATACGGCGGGTGACCCAGTAATTCAACGTTTGATGTCGCCAAATAGTCGATCGTTCGCTTGGCGGTGTGCGACGAGGCGTTGTCGTGTTGAAGGAGGATCCTACTGCGAGGTCGTTTCTCTCGAACTTTTTCCAAGACAAGTGGCAAACAATTGGTAGTGTACCATTCTGCAGAAACTGTTTTTTGATCCTCTAACACAATTGTTGCAAAATGACCTATCCTTCCAAAGAACGAGGCCACCATTTTTTTTCCCGCACTTCGATCTCTCTTCACTTTAGTTGGCAACTCCTCGAAAGGAAACACCCACTGAGCAGATTGTCTTTTGGTTTTAGGATCATAACAGTAAATCCAGCTTTCGTCACCTGTTAGTATGTCGAACACAGCATTTGAGTCACCTCCGTTAAATCTTTCAATCATTTTACGACACCAATCCACACGATGGAGTTTTTGAGCCTCAGTCAAATTATGAGGTATCCACCGGGCGCAAAGCTTCCTGACCGCTAAATGTTCGTGGAGGATTTTGTGCACTTGACTCATACCGATGCCTAAGCTTGTCCGAATCTGTTGATAGGTCACTCTTTTGTCAGTCTCTATCATACGCCGCACAACACAGATGTTATCTTCAGTCGTCGCCGTAGAAGGCCGTCCCTCACGTAAATCATCAGTGAGATTAGTGCGACCACGTTTAAACTCATTAAACCAGTTGTAAACAGTCGCACGAGATGGGGCTTCATCGTGAAAGGCCAATCGTAGTCTATCATAACTTTCTTGTTGACTTAAATGACATCGAAAGTCATAAAAAATCATTGCACGAAAATTTTCTCGTGTTAAATTCATGATGACGTGACACAGACAATTTTCAATTTGCCGCCAAATCGTAAAACAAATGACAAATGAATGAAATATATACTCAGTAATATTGGCAAAGAGTTATATTTTCAAATTTTAGAATTATTTTTTTATTATATTGTTTATAAGTGGCCAGTTCTAAGAACTTTCAGTTTGACCCTCGTATTAGCCTAGTTACTCAAAAATACTAAACATACTAATAGAGAAAACATTATGTTTTTAACTAGGTTCACCTGTATGTTAGGTAAAACCTTTGTTTTAAAGTCCTTTGACTTATTAAATTAATTATGGATATACTACTTTTTATGGACATTGGCGGTGGTCAGGCTGTCCTCTAACTTTGGCCTCATCAAAGTTCTTCCACATAATTCTGTCATTACTGATTCTTATCGTAAATCAATTTATTAACAGGTATGTTTGATACACCATTAACATCATATTTACCAGAGAAAATGTTAGAATTCATCAAAAGGATGACGCCATTTCCATCAAGACTAGGCAAACCTGAAGAGTTTGCGCATCTCGTCACAAGTATAGTAGAAAACCCCATGTTGAATGGTGAAGTGATAAGACTTGATGGGGCTAACCGATGGTTTCCTTTGTAAAGATCTAGTTATTTCAAGACTGTTTTATAGTGTATAAATATATTATTAGGATAAACATTGTGTTTAGTTTAATTTGCCCTGAAATCCTTTATTTTCTGATTAATCTGTTGTCTGACACGCGGAAGTCGACAAAATGTAAAAAATAATTAAATTATTATTTTTATATTTTGCCTTTCTTCTGTGTTTGCACTTCTGAGGTCAATTGAGTACATCACTTTGAAAATAACTTCAGTGTCGCGTTATCTTAATTATTCCCTTAGTATGAAAAACTATCGAGTGGGAATTGAGTCTAATGTCAAATTATATATATTAGAGGCCCGGGGCGGCATCAGTAGTAGCTTAGAAGAACACTGTTGCAATGCCTGAAGACCTGGGCATACAATCAATGCTTATTTTTTAATTTTATTTTTTATCGTTTTATGAAACATGATCGTGAAGTTCGCCCATCGACTACATGTCGCTCAGCTAGCTATGGAAAAGGTTATACTGGGATTCTAAGGGATAAAATTTGGAATAAGGTCAGCAGAAGATTAACATGATGGATATCATTCAGAAATGTAATATATTCAATCAAATGGTTGAATGAAATAGAATACTTTTACATCAGTCGATCCATTTATTAAAACTGCCGATATATATATTAATTTTAAAAAATCCCGGCATTTCGGTTTCTTTTCCACCGCCCATCTCTAATCCAGAGTAAAACTATCCGTACAACGTGCCCAGATGTTCATATCAACTCTTCTATTAAAAATACAGCGTTGAATACAGCGCGTTTATAGCATTAAAGGTTTTATCAAATAATTTTTTATAATCATAAAACATAGCTAAGAACTACCGCGATAAACAAAGCTTATAATTATTATAAGTGCACTCCAATTGGTTCATTTATTCATAAAATACGATGCCATAACCAGACAGGCACATAAACAAACGAACAAGTTAAACTTTTAACACCCTCTTTGCGTCGGGGTTTGAAAAGGCAATAAAGCATTTATTACGTTATGCTGCCCTCTGGTGCACGTTTTTTCGTTGGACTTTGGAACGTATTTTATTATGTAATTTAAGAGGGAGGTATATCTAAAATCATTTACTTTCTACTGGTTTGGTGCAAACAATAAGCGTCCAAATATTAATCTATGAGTCAGTGGCGTAGCTAGGTAACCTAAGGCCCTGGGGCAAATAAAAAAATTGGGGCCCACTGCTATCAAAACGAGTAAGGTTTTTAGAAGTAAAATCATTAACTATACAAATACTTTAAAAATGCTAAGCAACTTTATCATCAGCTCTTATTCGTGCATGGGCAGGTAATAAAACTATTAAACACTATCCACATAAATTACAATTATTTTTAAGCTTGGTGTAGGTATTGGTAAATAAAACGAAATAGAAAAGATTCAAGGGTTTATTATATATTTATTATATAACGTATCTAACGTTGCACCAGCTTACTGTTATTTAACCTATCGCCATGCCAGCTATTTACAAAAATTATCAATAGAAATATTTTGTCCAGAAGTACTTGCAGAGGGTTAACTAAAAAACTTGGCAAAGGGCAATTTTTGTTTACTTTCTTCTCTTTCTTGGCATTGCTTGCGTTTTAATGCACCACTGGTATTTTTTCTTGTCCATAATATTATTTTTCTAATTTATTTATGCAATAATTATATAAGATTGTACCCAAGTAGGTACTCACTGTTCACTGACAACGTTACAAGTAAAAGGAAAGCGAAACGTAATGATACGATACAAGACGTCGTTGGGGAATCCCGGCAAACATTTTATCGCCGCCAGTGTCACTACATTTGACGGTTTAAAAAATGATAAAAAAACATCACGTAATTATGGACGGCCCCCTACCCCATATGACTTGTATTTTTCATGGTATTTTGAGTTATATAGTGAGTAGCCGAAATCTATAGAATTTTTTACGTAACTATGTATACGTACTACAATCAAATAAAATTGAACTTTTGTATGGACCAGTACAAAATAATTATGGACATACGCTTACTTAATCCTATACATTAACTTTTTAACCATTCTCGAAAAAAAATCTTGACTCGAAGTTCACAATCGTGAATCACAAAAGCATATCGATAAATAATATTTTGCAGATATTGATATCCGACAAATTGATGAAAACATTAATAACACTGTCAATCCACACAACTAATTTAGGGGAATTCCCTTTTTATAACTTTGAAATTTCTCACAACTGAGTTGCCATGATTAAACTCGAGTTGTCACCTGTCATATTTATTTTGAAAATGGGCGAATTTTCAAAAGTTGAGTTCAATTGAGATATTCTGGTAAAGATTCGAGGGCCCCCTGAGCTTGAGGGCCCCGGGGCACTGCCCCGCCTAGCCCCTTGGTAGCTACGCCACTGCTATGAGTGGTATTGTATTGGCCGCTCGTCTCGTTGGTGATGTAAATGCAGGGCCTAAGGTGGTTCCATAATCGAAATCGGATTAGCGGTTGTTTTTACAACAAAATAACTGGTAACGTTGTGCTAAATATCTAAAATATGTATTATAGTAGATGTCAAAGAAAACAAAATCGCTTTTTCCTATTAATTTCATTAACATCTTTAAATTACCGGAAACAATTAAATACTTATATTTTTAGAAGAATAAAAACGCGACTTCATATACGTGGAAATTAAGGCGGTTCATATGTTATGAAAATTCAATTGAAGTCGGGTGATTAATATTAACAATCTAGGTACATTTGACTTCCGCTGAAGCCTGAAGAAGACATTATTTCTCACGTTTTTAAAGTCGTTTTTTATTTTAAGTGTTACACTGTGCCCCTCTAACCCTTAATCAAATTGTTTCCTCTGTTTGAATTTTGATTTGCACGATATCAGTTCACCATATCCATAAATAACACGTTTATTTCAATTTTCGTTATTCATGTTTGTTTTGTTGGCGCTGTTAGGAGTTTGTGCAATTTATTGCTTAATCTTTTGCAATGACACGCGGCAGGAGGGCGGCTCGCCAGTTAAACGGTTAATCCTTGAATCCAAGCATGGATTTATATTATTTTTCAATTTGAAGATTGTAAGAAGATTCCTACGTAGTAGATTAAGGATAATTTTGTTAGTCAACGTAAGCATAATTAAGTTATTGTCTTGAGGTCAACATGAAATGCACATCCATTAATGTATTTGTAAGGATCACTTCACGGTAGCACAGAGTTTTGAGAATTTATTCTTATCTCAAGAACGTATTGTTAAAATTTCAGAAATAGGTATAAATATAAGAAGTGAATGTAAGCATCATCATCATCTAAAAAGTAATTTAGTAAAACTTAGATTGACGCTTCAATTTTGCATCGGCTCTGCGTTACAGGTCTAGATCTACGATTTTTTTCCAACCGGGGCAAAGATTCGTCATTGCGCCCTTTCGATTCGACTTATTGCTTGACTAGATCGGAGAAAACTATAGCGAATAACACCATGTTGAGACCACAAAACAGTTACCATTACCTTTTTATTGGTAAGTTTTGCTTTAGGACACTTGTGCTTTTTGACCTGGGGTCATCACATGTCACAATTCCATCCAATATTTCTTCATTTCTGTACCGATTCAACAAGGCGACACAAGTTTCAACACGCGTTTCTTTCTGTAGATCAGTCAAATCATGTGGCACCCATTTTTCGTATTTTTTTTATTTATTGACTTGACGCAAATGAATCAATATTGTGGCTAAGGTGACGTTAAACTATGCCGCTAATTCCTGGGTAACTTGACTAGGATCGGCTTCCACCATCTCTCTTAATTCATCGTTATTCACCTGTGTGGGTCTTCCTCGTGACTCGTTCTTCAAGTCGAAGTTTCCATAACGAAAGCGTTTAAACCAAAAACGCACAGTGCGTTTATTAGCAGACGCCTCTCCAAACGCAACATTGATATTGCGGGTTGTTTCTGCCGCGTTACTTCCGATTCGGAACTCGTATTTTCGTAGTATCCGTCTTTCTTGTCTAAGTTGAATAACAAAAACAATTGAAAGTCGACATTCAATAGCTTTACATTTTTTAAAAGAAGAATATCATAGAAATCATGAAGACAATTCAAGGAACCTATTACAAAAAAACGGCAATTTCATAATTTAATTGCTAATATTAAAAAAGTTACGCAACTTTTTCGTCTCAAAACTTATGAACACATGAGGTAGGTATTATAATTGGCATAATTTCATCCCAGCGTGATGTGGATGCTGACAAAATGCATAGATTTCTTGGACAATACAGAAAAAGTTTGTAATTTCCAATGAGTTTTTAGCAGTGTCATTTACTACTAAATTATGGGAGTGAGCAGCACACCGTTCGTAAAAAGAACGAGGATTCATGTTTTTTTTGAAGGCCTATATTTTTCGCCCTCATATTGGCATTATATCCTTGGCCTCGCAAATCATCTAATTCAACATTGCATGATTATAATAAATCTAACAAATAAGTCGCCAACCCTTGTCCGGTAATATCAGTTACAGGTAAAAAATCTAAAAAATATTCTCGTACCTTAGGGCGTTTTGTAGATGGATTTAAATAAATAAACCTCACGATAACAGTAAGTTGTTTTTGGTGTGAAATATCAGGTATGTAATCTAGAATCACAGAGTAGTATTTACATTTTTTTCAAAATACAAATTATAGTAGTTTTAATTTTTTCAGCAATTATATTAATCAGTTCATTTTGAATGTTATGATGACCAAGATAATGTGGCAAGCGATGCTAAGCTCTTTGAATTCGAGCAATTTGTTCATAAAACTTCTCAGTTGTGCCCCTAAATGCTATATTTTGTTATGTCAAAAATTTTATAATTTTGATTATCCTTTCCAAAACTACCGTCCACTTCTTTTTCTCGCGGTCTTTTGAGATGAGATGGCAAAAGTGCATAGATAAAAATGGTTTATATTTTGATTAAATAAATATATTAAAATATATTAGACTTTTTGTTCCTCCCATACCAAACACCACATTTCATATGTAAGGATCTAATATTAATAAGCTTACAATGAAAACAAATACAGTATCAGTAGA